CTCAGGCAAGACGTCATTTTGCTCCCTTCAAAATTAGCCCGAATTTTTTCGGAAGGGATGTAGGCATGGGGATGGGATCTAATAAACGCCACGGGAGCTAGCAATTAAGGACTTTTTCCCGCGACTACTTTCAAGATCCAGGTAACCCCCTCCTAGGCCGCCATAATTTGAGATTTCTAGAGCTGCTATTTCGGTTACTCTGCAAGTTTCCCCCAGGAAAAATGAAGTGGCAGATATTTCCATATAAGGTAGGCGTGGGGCCTTTGACTATCTGTACTCAATGAAAAATTCTTTAAACACTCTCTTTTTCAGAAAGCCATTTTTTTACATGTGATAGAAATTTTTCAGAAAGGTATTGACGATATGGGATTCATGAGAAGTTATCTGAATACATTCAAAAAACGAGTAGCCAATTCTACAACCATTTCGCATACTGAAATGAGCGGTGTTGCCAGAGTGTTCCGCCGTGCCCAGTCACTCATTCCAATGCTCAACTTCAGCATCAGTTCACCATGGGAAGTAAGTTAGTTTCGTATCGGTCAATAAAATGCATCAATAAGGATGGAGGAACTCCCGAATTCTCACGTTCGCTTTGTCGTATGCGTGGTAAATCGTTTTTAGTCGTATCGCTGCGTCAAACTGCACTTACCGTATTCGGCCCGCCTCCCAGCTAATCGATATACCTCTTTTTGTTGCCTGCTTCGCATTTTTGATTTCTTATCTTGTTACTGATGAAAGACGGTGTTATTAGGGAAATAGAATTATTATAAATATTATATTATATATTATTATAAATATTACATATTATTATAAACTCAAATAAATCAATATCCACCCATCCACCGCGAACCTCACTTACACATTTCGCGCTCCAATCATTCATCGCACGGTTTCATCGATACGCGACGGTGCGGCGCGTGCGACACGCCATTAGGGGAGAAGTACCCACACCTGTCAATGATGAACAACCTTAGCTTACATACTCGTTTTCAGGTAATTTCCTACAAAAAAGGAGGACATCATTCTCCTCATTATGACTATATTACCTACTCTTCACCAGATCAATATAGCAAAGAAACTCGAGAATATGGAAATCGTTTTCTGACGTTTATGGTCACCCTGAAATCGGCTAAAGTAGGAGGAGGTAACTTTCAACTATGTTGATCGATTTTTATAAAAGATGGGGCTGATGGTTTCCTAGATTGAGAGCTGTTGCAACTGTCATGGAGCGAATAAAAAGAATTGAGCATCATTTCTAGAATAAGCCATGCAGATGGCATCTATATGGAATCGTAGTTTTTCCGGAATGCTTAGTTTCTCTAAGAAAGGATCACAGAGAAATGAACTTCACCCCTAGTAAGAATGAGGCATGGTTGCGATCCACCGGATATCTTTACTGTAGCAGCGACAGTAGCCATTGCCCCAAATACCTCCTCTCAGAATATCCGTGATTGCCGATTGACAATTCATGAAAGAGTTTGTTTTCAGAAACTGTATTCGTCTTTCTGAACCGAACAGTGGAGCTTTCAGCTGGAGATGTGCTTGTGTTCACAAACATTGATAAGAACTTGAATCCGGTAAGTATACCTTCCAGTTACTAGTTAAAAAAGGATAAAGGATAAAGTTTTTGGCGTTAATCAATCCCGTCTGAGGGATGCGCCCCCGCACTCGACTTCCATTCAGAATCGTAGTGGCGTAATGAGTGCGTATGCGGCCTATACTATGACTTGCGGTGGCCAGCCGATGTACAAGTCAGTGCTTTTATCCTCCCAGACGAGTCTGGTACCAATTCACCAACCCCGGAGGGATGGAAGGCTTGGTTGGCCTAGGCGGGCATCGATCCGGGATTCGAAGAGAGCGAATTAGCAGAACAGGGGCCGCAGCCATTCTTTAGTGAGAACAAGGAATAAAAGGAAATAGCACTCGGCATGTGAAGGGTTGGGAGATACCTACAGCGTAGTCAACCTCTCCTTGAGGACCCCGAGGCGATCCCAGATGCGACCACCTACCTACCTAGATCCTATTGGATATGACGGGAATTTGTTTTTGTATTTTTTTTGAAAACCATTATTTGATCACTTATTAAGTATCCCTCCTATCTTCAGGAGCACGACGACCCCAGATAAACAGTAATGCTTTCAGGCAAGTGGCTCTGTTCATGCAGAATGCCCAGTTGAAAAAGGTGAAAAGATCACAGCGACACTTTGGTTACGTCCTAAGGGTCAGGAATTTTTCAATTCACACTCACAGGAAGAAAATATGTTTGCTTACGATATTGAAAAGCTTATCGCCCCCAATATGAAAGCCTACGGGATCTCTCCATTCTATGACGTTTACGCCATTCGACAACTGATTGCAGAAGAATACGCAAGAATGAATGCAGAAATGCCGAGAAAGAAAGGCTAATAGAATTTTTCCTTCCATCTTTGGCTGGTCTTCAATTTGCGAACTGTTCAAGACCTATTCTGATTCTGTAGTGCCAGCCGATTTTACTCCAGAACACGTAACCTATACAATACCTAATGAAGAGGGCTAACACATCGTTTCTTTCCTACTGCTCTAACTATTTTATTTATCTTGAGTTTCCTGTTGTTTGTTTAAAAGTTTATGGTTGCCATTTCTGGAGACTGTTGTTTATTTAACATTTTATTGTTTTTTGTTTAATGAAGTTTTTAAGAATTTTGAACCTTTACTGTATTCAAACCGTCAAGATGGCAGATACAGTCTGCGAACGAACATTGAATACTGTTGCTCATATTCATGATATCACGGATCCTAACCGGAGGAGGTTCACTTCAAATTCCAAAGAAGGGACAGTGCCTCTGACCTCCTCCGTCTCCCCAGAGTATATACAGTAGCGCTTAAAAGAATTCGGCCAAATGGTTCCTCAGCCGTACTTTTCAGTCAAAACTCCTTTCCTACTGGATCTAATCAAGCGAAATTTCAATATGTGTAGCATTGGAGTAGTGTGAATATTCACCACTATTAACCTGCAATCTGATCATGTTCCAAATATCCAAAAAGGCTTGAACAAAAAATCATCTGGAAATACGAAT